CTTTGACCTGCATGAGCCTTTTTGACTCAAGCTCCACCTCCTTCTTTGAGACTTTTCCTCTACCTCATATCTGCGTCTGGGTAACTGCCAGTTACCTGACTTTCCTTTCTGTAAATAAGGATGATAGTCCCAACTCATACTTCATCCCAGACCCCATCATAATCACTGACCAGGCTGAGGACCTAAGGATCTGGTCCTTAGGTCAGTGCTCACTCCAGGCCAATCAAACTCTTACCCTCTTAATTAGCTACCTTACCCAAGATTCTCAGGAGAGCCAGGAAAGAGGAGAAATTGGAAGTTATGAGAGAGGAACCTTTACCTTCAACCATAATCTTATCCCTGCTGCCCTAGTAATGCTGAAGTCATTTGTTGCAACTCTACTTGAGTACCAGCAGTTACAGGAATCACACCAAAGGTATACATAACCATGAATAGTCAAAAGAGGATGCCGCTAAGATGGGGTAAATCACATGTTATTTAGTAAGAGAGAAAAAATAAAGCTAAATTTGGAATTAGTCATAATGATAACACTAGGTCAACAACACCGGGTTAAAAAAAAAAATAGGGAAGGGGCATAACCTTACCAGAAAGGTTAAATGGAATCACACTTATTCATTGCTGTGGCAAAAGACACAGTAATCTGGATTTGGTACAGCCATTTTTCAAGGCTAAAAGATCTTTCCTTGAGATGCTCTACACTCACTCATTACTGTATCATAGTGTTGACTGAGTAAGTCAGCACAACCAGTACAATATCTACACCTCAGTTAATCTAAAGCTGGGTAAGATTCTGCACCTAATTCCAATGTGTGTGTGGTGTTTGGGGGGGTTGGGGGATGATTTCCACACACTAACAAGCAATTTTCAGACACCAGCTGGGTGTCCTGCAATTCAGCTCAATTCTGACACAATCTGCCTGGACAGANTTTTTTTAGTGTCCTTGTGTGGTTTTGGTATTGGTGTAGTGTTGGCCTTCTAAAATGAGTTTTGGAAGTGTTGCCTCCTCTTCTTCTTTTTGGAAGAAGTTGAGAAGCTTTGGTATTAATTATTCTTTAAATGTTTGGTAGAATTCACCAGTGAAGCCATCTGGTCCTGGACTTTTCTTTGTTGGGAAGTCTTTGATTACTGATTCAATCTCTTTACTCATAATTGGTCTGTTCAGATTTTCTATTTCTTCATGATTCAGTCTTATTTGGCTGTATGTTTCTAGGAATTTATCCATTTCTTCTAAGTTGTCCAATTTGTTGGCATATATTTATTCATAATAGCCTCTTATTGCCACTTAAAATTTTTGTGAACAGCCAGTACAAGGAAAAGGAATAGGGAAAATCCTTGAGGATGTTGAAAAATGAGATCTGTACTTCAACTGACTGACTTGGAAAATCAACCAATAAATACTTAGTTATTATTTTTATGATTGAAAGAAGACTCTAGACTCAGGTTTTATATTTTAATTCTAGGTGTATTTACCTTAAACAACTTAATCTGTAAGCTTTAGAGACTCACATGTAAAATGTAAATAGTTACTCCTTGCAGAGTTTTCCTCTTGATAAAATGAGGTAGCAGGTCGAAATGTTAGGTAAAGCACCTAATGCAGGTATGGTTTTTTCCTAGAGCACGAGTTCTGAACTAGTAGACTCTATTCTCTCTTGCAGTAATTGTCTTAATAGTTAAAACAAATTGTTAAGCTATATACTAATTCCAATTTCTTTCCCCCCCCAGCATTGTGGAGTGGCCTCTTCACTCACTTAACAGAATCTTGGAATAACTTTAAGGGCCTAGATCCAAACTATACAACATGGATGGATATCATGGAGAAACACGGCTACCGAACACAAAAATTTGGAAAATTGGACTATACTTCAGGACATCACTCCATTAGGTAAAAATAAAACAAAAATAATCCTAATAGGCTCCTTTCTGCTATAGCACATATATCTACTCTTTTNAAAAAATGGGCAAAAGATCTGAATAGATATCTCTCCAAAGGCGATACACAAATGGCCTCTAAGCACATGAAAAGATACTCGACATCATTAATTGTTAGGGAAATGTAAATTAAAACCCAATGAGACACCAATTCATACCCAGTAAGATGGATATAATAAAAAAAGACACAATAATTAGAGTTGGCCAGGATCTGAGGGAATTGGAACCCTCATTCATTACTGGTGGGAATGTAAAAAGATGCAGCCACTTTGCAAAACAGTTTAGCAATTCTTGAAATGGTTAAATATGAATTACCACGTGATCCAGCAATTCTACTTCTAGGTACATATCCAAGAGAAACCAAAATCTATGTCCACACAAAAACTTGTACATGAATGTTCATGGCAGTATTATAAATAATACTGCCAAACAGTGGAAACAACCCAAATATTCCATCAACTGGTAAATGGATTTTTAAAAATGTAGCAATATTATTCAACGATAAAAAATAAACGTGGTACTGATACATGCTGCAATGTGGGTGAACCTAGAAGTCATTATGCCAAGTGTAAGAACCTAGTAACAAAGGACCACGTATTGTATGATTCCATTTACAAGAAATGTCTGGAGGAAGCAAATCTGAAGAGACAGAAAGATTAGCAGTTGCCTAGGGTTTGGGGGGATGGGAGAATAGGAGGGTGATAGCTAAGGAGTGCAGGGTTTCTTTTTGGAATGATGAGAATGTTCTAAAATCAATTGTGGTGATGGTTGCACAAATCTCTGACTATACTAAAACCATTGAATTGTACACATTAAATGGGTATATTCTATGGTATGTGAATTATAATCTTAATAAACTCATTTTTAAGAAAGAAAATAAGCGCCTCTGTCGGGGTCTTCAAGGACATAAGCATCCTCTCTGCCTCTGTCCTCCGACCCCTGCACCTGCATTGGTTTTAGCTTTGGTGATGTTTTAGGAATGGGAGGTGTAGTGAGTCTGGTGAGAATCAACTGCAGTCTGATGCACCGATCTGAGAAGAATGATATAAACAGTTCCGCTGTGATAACAAATCGGACAGTTAAAGTTACTGTTACATTCTATCATTAAAATACCTTGAAATCTAAATATCACTGGTTTTCCCTGGCCCAGAATGATGAGGAACTGAATACNCTTCAGAGTAAGGATTAACTAAAGGGAAAGTCAATTTCCCCATATATATTCTGGTCCAGAATCATATTGAATTCCCTTCTCGAAATTGCAGCTCAAAACCAAACCTGTCTCCCTAAGACGATTGTCAACAAAGTGTTTTGCCTACTCCCTTGTAGAGTTCTGGCAATTTCCACTTCAGATGCGGAGAAACCCTGTTTTAAAAAAAATACCCATTTTAATAACAAGTTCTTTTCATAAAAGCATATCATTTATTTTGCGGCACATTGGAATGGAGCATAATTGCATTCGCGAAGTATGGGCAGCACCTCCTTCTGTACAAAGTAAACCTCAGGAGTGAACAAGGGAATGGCTGTTTCTTAAAAAGCAATAGAAAAGTAGAAAACAGAAAGGAAAACAGCCGTATGGATAAATTACTTGTAATGTAGCAAGTATAATATGTATTAAAACAGTCGTAAGGACTTTCCAACTACTCCATCTTAAATGCAAATAAGATGTTAAGTAAGTTTCTGTAATATCAAATCCACACAAATGTTGAATTGTATTTATGTATTTTCTGATGTTAGTGATATTAACACACCCTGGGCATCACTTTTGAAAGTTTACAGCTAACCATCTATTCCTATGGACTAAAGTGAAATAGAATATAATGTTGCAGCAGAAAGCATTGGAATGCTACTCTTGAAGTCTCTTAGGGGAAAAAAAAATGCAGCAGCTCACTTCAAGTTACAAAATTTGAAATATATTGTATCCTTGTGGTTACATCTATAACTGGTCTAGTCACCAAATAGTACTTATTACTGTTCACTGTGTTTGTTCAACAAACATTTCGAACCTCCTACCTGTCAGCAGTACTCGTATGTTGGGTACTGGTGGTATTAAGTTGAATATGATCAAGAAATCATACATCAATTAAAAACACTGTAGGACTCACCTCACCTCAGGGCCTTTATATTCCCTCTTCCCTCTGCCTGGGATGCCCTGCTCTTTGCTTTTTACGTGGCTGGCTATTGGTCTTTACCTCTCAGCTCAGATAGCACCTCCTGTGGGATAGCTTCCCAAGCACACTAAGTTAGTATATCAGCCCCATCATCCTACTTTGTACCTTGTTTGTTTACATCATAATCTTTATTTATTTTGTCTATTTACTTGTTTTGTGTCCATCTCCTTTGAAGAATATGAGCTTCATGAGGGTGGGGACATTCAGTCTTATTCAGCCTTCCATCCTAGCTGCCTAGTTTTGCATCCCTAGTGCCTGCCACATAGGAAGGACTCAGTAAACATTTATTGAATGAGTGCAAATGCCAGCAATTATACTACGCTGTTTTAACTACAGTAGCTACAATTTGTAGGCATCTTGGAGAACAGTGATTCGCACCCCCTGGAGGAGCAGGAAATGCTTCACCAGGGAGGAAATGCTTGAACTGGGTCACACAGGAAGAGTGGCAATTTGCCAAATAGATGGTGGGAAAAAGGACATTCGACACAGAAGGCACAGTATGCACAGAGGCAAGGAAGTCTAAACCAATTATCATTAGTTCCGGAATACTAAATTGTTTAGGATTGTGAAAGGTAAAGGTCTAGGGGCAAGCTGAGGGTTCTGAGCCCTTGCGTGTCATGCTTAAGCAGTCAACAATGGGAAGCTGTGAAAAAGATTTAAGCTGGGCTGTGATGTGATCAGATATTTTAGAAAGAGATCCACCAGAGCGGTGCAAGGGATACAGGAGAAGGGAAAGAGGAGTGGAAGCAAGAAGGCCCATTAGGAAGCAATTACAATTGTCCAGTGGAAAGATCCTGATGGTCTGAACTCTGTCAATAACTCCACAGAGCAGCAGGTCTCACTTCTGACTGGACTGCGGAATCACCTGTATTGTGTTTTATTTTTGTTTTTAATAACAGACCCCTGTATCCCAGATTCAGGAACTGCCCAAATAGGGATGACTCCTCTCTCTGGACTGTACCTTACTGAGATTCTCTTAATGACAATGAGAAGGAACACTAAGGAACACTAAGAAACAGGGGCTGGTCAGAGCAATTTTACTGTCCCTTCATGCCCTGACCAAGAATATGCTAGATCACACTCATATACTGTCCGTACTGCTGCCAGCCTTCTTCAAAGGTGGGATCTCCATAATCCTCAGCCAACTTTGTGGACATGATCTGGCAGTTGGGGTTTGGGGAGCCAGGGTAGCAGGAAGGAGGCGTTCTGACCCCTTTCATCACCTCCTCTTATTGGGTGGAAACGCGGGTCCCTGTGACATCAATCCTTTCATCCTCTGAGACATGCACTGTGCTGACATCCAGACTTGTCTTTCTTTTTTCATTTGAGTCACTAAAGGGACATTTTCCCCTATTCTCCTATAGAAATACAGAAAGCAAGCCAGCATGATCTCCAAATAGAAAAACTATCCTGCAGGTATTATATTTTCTCCTTCCTCCCTCTAGTCTGTCAACTGGGGAACAGGCAGTGAAGCTTGGTAAAACTTACTTAAGAACAGTAGACAATCAGATGTTAAGAAGCATCCTGACAAACTCTTATAGGGTAGAGTTGTTATAACCTTATTGATAGAATAAACATGAGCTAAAAGATAACAAATATTTATCTTGATTTATATCGTAGGCGAAATTATTTTGGCTCTTCGCCAGTTAGATCTTCTTCAGAAAACGATTGTCATATACACCTCAGACCACGGAGAGCTGGCCATGGAACATCGTCAGTTTTATAAAATGAGTATGTACGAAGCCAGTGCCCACGTTCCACTCTTGATAATGGGACCGGGGATTAAGGCCAACCTACAAGTATCGAATGTGGTTTCTCTTGTGGATATTTACCCTACTATGCTTGGTAAGTAATATAATTCTGTAAATATTTATTTGTAATAATGCTGGAGAATGAATAAGCAAAGCAGTCAGAGGCTCTGCTGGCTTGTTTATAATCTTGAGCAGCTCATTTAACTGTGAGTCAAATCCATATCTGAAAAATGAACATAATATTCCTTAGCTTCCTTTGTCCTTCATTTACTGCAGTTATTTTTCCTTCAAAAGATTCACAAACAGGACATGGCTATAGAGTAAGCCATGTAAGATTTTCAGGTTCAGAGCTTTAGAGATACAATTTGTATATCATTTGATTCTCTACCTCCACCTCCCTGAAATGTAAGCATTTTCCTTCTTGAGTATTTCATCCATTTTGAAACTACTAACTTTGTACAATGTTAGAAAAGTCCCTTAACCTGATGCTATCAATATATTTTTCCTGAGAATCTTTAGATTGTTCAGTACTATCTGCTTCACTAGCTTCTTAACATCTATAAGCGTAACCATAGGTCTGAAACAGCAACATTTGGATAATGGTAGTTAGCAGTTTTTACTAGAAAAACGCCATCATCAAATTCAGAGGAAATAATATAAAACTGCTAGTTTCTATCTAATTTAGCAGAGTGCTTTAAATCTAATGACATTTAAATGTTGTAATTCCACTGTTCTAAGGTACCATCAAATGCAGAGAGTATCATCAATTTATAAAAAGGTTTTGGTGAAAGAAAAAAACAACAACATAATATATGTCACACATATATATATATATATATATATATAAATGTGAAAGAAACGTGTCTGAACATCAAGAAATAAGAGAGTTCTTTTTATCTCCCTCCTTCTGCTACACAGTCTTTCCCTTCATCTAACTAAAGACTATTCCAGGGTCTTAAATTTCTTTACAGTTAATTTATATCAGTGCCCTTTCTTTTTCTCTTTAATTTCACATCACTTCTTATATATTTTAACACACTTCTTTGTTGTTCCTTTGCCCAATGTATATTTTTAATCTCTTCAATTTCTTAGTCATCATTTGCTGTTTCTCCTGCATCCCAAAGCTATTTTCGCACTGAGCCATATCTCTGCCACTTTCTGGCTCCATCCATTTTAGCCAATCCTATTACTTTTCCTCATCTCTATTTTCATAAGAAATGTACATGTAATTCATGTATATTTGTAAGTATCTCTTATCATCTTTATAATTTTATGAATATATGCTTATGTATATTAGCATTTCTTTACAGCTACCTCTTCTAGTTTTTCCTCCTGCAGAACTCTCCCAACCCCACCCATTTGCAACGAAAAATCTCCTAAGGATCATCATATTTGCTTAACTTTTTAGCCTTATTCTGTTTTCTTGAGGTACAATGACCAGAACAGCAAAAGATGATATAAACTTGGGGTGATTATTTCTCAGTTTTCCCTCAATAGATTTCATAGTGACATTTGGCATTCTGTTTGTCTTTTTTACTCTGGCAGCTCAATAATCCAGTATCTTTAGGGAGTTGTCTATACTACATCCTAGTCTGGTTCTGGTCATCCTATCACCTTATATGTTAGTTTATTAATATGCATTTTTTAAATCATTCTTCTTTAAATACTGTTTAAAATTTGCCCACAATGCATATGTTCTACTTTATAATCTTGAGATCAAAATAGTACGTACTCTATTTTTTTAAATATATATGCATATCCAATTCTAAAATTCCAATTTTAGAAAATAACCTATAGATATACTGAAAGATTTGTCACCATGGATATTTATTACAGTATTATATTTAAAAAATAGAAGCTGTATGAATATCTAATATCTAGTAATAGATTGGGTAAAATTTTATTTTAAAAGGTGAAATGATATGTGAAAATGGCTCCCATTTTATTAGTGAAAAGAAGATGTAGGCTGGGTAGTTACAAAATTGTCACTGTAGTATGGGGACTATAGTCAATAATATTGTAAAATCTATGTATAGTGTCAGGTGGGTGCTGATCTTATCATGAGGATCACTTCATAATTATATAAATGTCTAACCACTATGCTGTACACCTGAAACTAATATAAAATAATGTTTAATGTTAACTATAATTGAAAAAAAATAGTCATGAGGATATAAAGCAAAGCATAAGGAATATAGTCAATAATATTGTAATAGCTATGTACAGTATCAGATGGGCAATACTTACTGGGGTCATCACTTTGTAAGGTGTGTAAATGTCTATTCACTGTTGTTTTGTACACCTAAAACTAAACAATACTGTATGTCAACGGTAATTGAAAAATAAAGTTCTAAAAATTAAAAAGAAACTATATGAACAGGGGTTTTCTGTTTTATTTTGTTTTGTTTGTTTGCTTATTGAGATAGTGTCTATGTCCATATAAGCACATTTTGGGTAGTAAAAGGGTAGGGTACTGTTAACAATTATACCAGGATTAACAGGCATAACCTGAGTCTGCTGTCTTATTGAACAGCCTTAACCAGCCACCAAGGCAAAGATAATTCTGATGGTCTGTGTTTAATCTGATATTTGATTCAGCCTTTTAAAATAAAGCTGCTCAGTTCTGGAAGTGTTTAAAGCTACTTTAGTAGGGATTAAATCTAAAATTAGACCTATGGGATAGTATGTTCTATTTTACCTCTGCTTAATAAATAAACTTACACAGAGTTTGATAAAGTATCAACAAAGGACTTTTCTTTTTTTATAGCTTTATTAGGCATAGCTGTATTATTTTGTATGAGTCCAATTTACACACAGGGTATGGGATTAAATTTCCCAGGTCAAAGCCTCAAGCCAGACTTCCTCTTCCCCTCCATTCTATGGACTTTAGAAATATCACATAAAAAATAGTGATTCAAAAAACCTTAAGTAGAAAGATTTTGAATAGGAAAAAACAATTGAGATTACTGTTTCAATAAACCTGTCTTACTGTAAAAAGCATGTTGAAATTTAAGATGCTACAATGCTTTATAAAAATTTGAATTTACAAGTTTTTTAAAGGTATTTTTTAAAAGTGTTTTCTGTAAATTTATATTTAATGATAAAGTAGGAAGAGTATACTTAGTCTATTTATCTTGTAGGTCCTTTATAGTATACTATCACATTACCATTTTCTGAACTAGCAGAAAAGTGCCATTTTTATGAAAAGGAATTCTTTATACTATTAAAGTTGACATCATTATTTCAGAGATTATTCTTTTACAATTATTCCCCAAAATATTTTCTTCTCTAATAACCTATTATCAGGATCCTTCAGCTCAGTTATAAATACAGGTATTCTCATTTTAAAATTAAAATTGTTTTGATTTTCTTTTTCAAACTTCTTATGTTCGTGCAATTTTTTTCTTTTAATAGTTGATAGTTGTGTAAAATACCTACCATCCTTTCCCATAAAAGATTAATCAAGATTTTTTGAATTGTGAAAATGTAACTGTAATTATATACAAATACAGTTATGTTTAAAAGAATGCTTAATTGCTAGTGATTTCAACTGCAAAACCCTCATTGTTATAGGATCTTAGTGGAGGTTTGGGAAGGGCATTCTACAGAGACTATTTTGTTTTTATTTTATTTATTTTTTATTTTTCAATTAAAGTTGACATGCAATATTATATTAGTTTCAGGTGTTCAACATAGTGATTAGACATTTATATGATTTACGAAGTGATCACCCCATAAGGCTAGTACCCACCTGACACCATACATGGTTATTACAATGTTATTGACTCTGTGTCCTATTCTGTACTTTACATCCCTGTAATTGAGGAATATCTTTCTATTTGTAAATGGCAATTTGTACATCTTAGTCCTTTCCCCTTTTTCACCCGTCCCCGCAACCCCACTCCCATCTGGCAACTATCAATTTGTTCTCTGTATCTATGAGGTTGTTGCTGTTTTGTTTGTCCGTTTATTTAATTTTTTAGATTCCACATATAAATGAAATCATACGGTATTTGCCTTTCTCTGACTTATTTCACTTAGCATAATACCTCTAGGTCCATCCATGTTGTCACAAATGGCAAAAGGGAACCCTTGTGCACTGTTCATGGAATTACAAATTGGTATAGACTATTTTGTTTTTATTGGTTGGAAAATATTGTGAAGTTGAATAACTACAGTAAAGTAAGACCTGTGGTGTAGTATTGAAGATACAGTAAAGTAAGACCTGTGGTGTAGTATTGAAGAGTGCAGAGACCCTGGACTGCCTAAATTCAAATCCCTCCTTCAGTATTTACCAATTGTACGGCCTTGGGAAATGTACTTAATATCTCTGGTCTTCAATTTTCTTATCAATAAAATGAAAATAATAGTGGCTATTGCATAGTTTAGAACAAAGGCTGGAATATGCATGGTAAACAATTAAATGTGAGATATTATTATCTTTAATATTTTTTATTCCTCTTAGGTATGCCCTTAAAATGTACATAGTTTGCATCATTGCCATACCATTCTAATCCCCTATCTATCCATATGGTCAGGAAGAAATACAATCTTTTCTCTCTTCAAGAGACCATCACATATATCCAGGTCTGCATTTTTACCCATTACTGCTTTAAATTTAAGTCACTTTTTTAAGAAGTCTGCAGTTACTTTTAACCTTTGCTTATACTGCCAAGAAAGATGAAATTTACTTAAAATGAATTAGAATGACAGCTTTGCTAGAAGAAAAAATACAAAAAATGGTTTTAAACAAAGATCAATGAGTTTTTTGAAAAGCAGTTTAAGCTAAAGGGCTTTTAAGGAAACTATTGATAAATATCTGAGAAATGAATACCCGGTTTCCTGAGGCACAGAAAAGTTAACAAATATGTAAGGCATTTATTAAATACTATGGATATTTGACATGGGTTTTACTCTTCAACATCCATTTACAAAGGTCTATTATCCTACTAATAATAGACTGGAAGCAAGTCATCATTGTCTCTTCCTGGACTCCTGCGATAGCTGCCTAATGCCTCCCTTCTACCTGTGCCCACGTTTAATCAATTCGCCATACAGTAGTTAGCATCAGACCATGTCACACTTCTTTCTGCTCAAATCCTCTACTGGTTTCCCATTTCCCTTCAATCCAGAATCTCTAATTGGGCCTGCAGTCCAACATGATCTCTTCCCCTCCCCAGTTCATCTTTTACAATTTACCCCTCACTTTCTCTGCTCCAACCATATAGGACGCCGTGGTGTTTGGGGAATGAACCAAGCAGGTTCCTGCCTCAGGGTGTTTCTATTTGCTATTCCCTGGGCTAATGCCCTTCCCCTGGATACCTATCTATAGGGCTCACGTTAGCCCTTCTTCAGGTCTCTATTGAAATGTTACTTCATCAGAGAGGCCTTCCTCAACCACACTATATAAAACAGCACATAAACATGCCTGCCATCATTCTCTAGCTCCCTTATCTTGCTTTATTTTTCTTCAATGCATTCATTATTGCCATCTGACATATCTGTTTGTGTGTCTGCCCACATTAGAACATAAGCTCTAAGAGAGTTTATCTGCTTTGTCTACTGTTTTTTCCCCTACTGCCAGAACAGAACCTAGTTTGTTGAGTAAATGAAAAAAATGAACACTTTAAACTCTTATCCCAGCTTACTATTTACCTCCCATGTGAACACAGAGGAATCATGTAAATTTCCTTAGTCTGTCAAGCTTTAGGAAAATTAGGCTAAGAATAGATATGAAATAAGGTATTTCTAAGTGTTGAAGGTTATTAACTTGCTAGATGCAGGAACTTCCCACTCATGGATATATGCCAATGGGTTCCTGCTTCCCAGCCATCTTCAAAGTCCTCT